ATGTTTGCATGCATGAACGTGTGTGTGCATATGTGCATACACAGCGGTTTCTGTAAGCTCTAGGACCTAAATTGGAAAAATAACTTTTTTTGGTCCCTAAGTCTTTGATGCCAGCCCATACTGTCATTATGGTACACAGACCAGAACTATAATAACACCTCTCCTCCTCCTCCTCCTCCTCCTCCTCCTCTCTTAGGACTCAAGATGAAGTGTCAAAATCCCAAGGCAGAGGGAGATCACAACAAACTGATTATCAACAGGAAGTGGCTCCATTATGGGCTTAAAGATATAGGAGAGAGTGCTCTCTGGTTACTGCGCTCACTCAAATCCACACATTCCTGCAGGGTTTAAGGAGAGCCAGGTCACCCCTGTGGACTCTTCTCCCCAGCCACTGCCTCAGCCCGGAGGCATTGCTCGGGGTACAGCTGGGACATTGAAGGGCTTTGGGGGTCCTTAAGGAAGGGTGTGGGTGTCTGGGGTGGCCTGGAAATCAGAAGGCACTTGACAGCCTTTGTCTTGTGACTTTGCACACCTGCAGTGAATGGCTGTCTCTTTGGGGATGAGGTGAGTTTTCTGAGATCTGAGAGAAGACTTAGTGAAGCACTCACATCTAACAGACCCCGACAACTTGTTCATTACTTGGGAATATGCCACGTTTTATCAAGGTATTTTAAGAATGTCTATACACCCAAACCAAATTGGAGCATTGACCTTCTAAAAAACTGACAATTTATTTAGAAACAATAGATGCTTGTAGAACCTGGAGCAAATCAGCCATTAAATGTCTCAAAGCTAAACATGATCTGAGACGACTTCCTTAACAGTTCAACAGGGACCTTTCCCTGACTGCATTCCTCCATCTTCCTAATTTGATTAGAAAAGAGTTTGACTATTTTTATGATCTGCACTCAAAGCCCTAACGATTCCTCAGAGAGTAGGAGGAACTGAAAAAAGAAACAATTGAGAAGATTGCCAAGCTGCCTCCCCGGGGAGTGAAGTCGAAGTGAAGAGATGGATTGTGCTGGGTCGAGATCAACGTAGGCAGAAACTGCAGAGTCATGTGCATGATGGAATATCTCAGATGGAAAATGCTACCGACCCATTCTTTCCCTCTTGAGCATGCAGAATATTTGGAGAACATTTCAGTCTTTTGTTTATTTGTTCTACACGTCGTTTGGAGGCGAGTCGCCAAAGGCTCCGTTTGCTGGGAATAGCTTTGAAACTGAGGCCAAAAATCGAGGCGAGTCAGGGAGGCCTAGTCTCAGTGTTGGTACATGTATACATGTGAATTATTTACTTGTCGTCCAGCAGGAAATGAGGAACGATAACAAGCTTGGGAAAGAAAAGCAGAAAAACAAACAGATGCTATCTCAACCCCTCGTTCATTTCTTTCTTTCTCCTCTCTTTAATCTGAGGCAGTCGGCCGTGTCCGACCTCAGACCAACGACAGAGAACCTGTCCCTAAAACAGCGGAAGGAAGTGGAACGATCATTATGTTAGTTAATGACTGTTAATCTAAAAGATGTTGAACAAATTAAAGGGGAAGTGTGTCAATTGTACTCATCAAAGTCTGCCTACAGGTGTTGCATATGTGAAGAAAAGTGTAGGCTACAATAAACCCACCAGCCGGGCCAAAGACTACGAATAAACTACATAGACTACTGAAACTCCGATCAAATTGTTGATGATTCAGTTGTTGTTGTTGTTGTTGTTGATGTTGAGCGCCACGTTTTAACAAGAAAGAACAATGTGTAGAATAAGACATCCTGTTTTTTCTGTTTCTGCCTCACATTTTGTTGACTGTCCATTGCGAGTACTAGAATGGTATTAAAGAGCAATACTAAATTGGTATTTTTTATTTTGTTTCCATTAAGTGAAACCAGATCTGACCACCAGGTTACTGTGTCGTCACTACCTGAGCCGGACCTTGTGATGATCTCCTGACCCAATTTCGGACTCTCCGTCTCCCCCTGACCTCGGCCCGACACCCCCTCTCATCCCTAACCTTTCAATCCCATCAGCCCCACCATTGCTCAATCACCTGTGACCAGGCCTGGGTGGGTGACCTTTGACCCGAGAAGGTCACGATTAGAGCTGAGAATCAGAGCAGCAGAATTGGGGACCAGGCAGAGAGGAGATGGCCCTGGACCGAGAGCTTCGACCCAGCGAGGCTGAACTCTGGAAGAGTCAGGTCGCCACACCCAATACATCTAGAAAAGAGAAGAGCTGCGTATCAAAGGCTCTGGTCATTAGCGCAGGAGGTTTAGGGGGGATTTTTATTTCCACCAGGGTGTAGGGATCATGGAGGTGGGAGAAGGCAGCAAAAAATGTTGGCAGGCATTTTAATTAGCTTGATCTCGCCAGACAAGGGATAGGAGGCAGCAGGCAGAGATGGCGACTATGGGAACACAGAGCACAAGAGAGGAGGACAGGAAACAAAAGAGAGAGAATCACGGAGAAAGAGAGAGGGATAAAGTGGGGGTGAGGGTCGCACGCCCAGGGGCTACTCTAACTGTGCCAGATCTAAATATGCAGCACCAAATAAAACATCCTCTCATGAGATCATGGGTGGCTGTGACTGGTTAGGGGATGCAACAAACACACACAAACCAAATCGCTCCCAGCCATCCTATCTTGTAAATTTCTGGCGATCTCTATATAAAACTTGGAATTTGGAGGAATGTACTTAAAAAGCCGTCCTGTAAATGAGGAGGCAACAGTTCCCATGCTGGGATACATTCTTTAAAATGTATCTCAGTGGTGTTCCGTACATTTCACACCACTCAGGAGTGCACAAAAAAAGGAGAGCCTATCAGAGGTCATACTCCTCCTCCTCCATGTTCATTGCCTCCTCCACCTCCGTCTGCTTCCTTTCTGTCTCCTCCTTCAACTCCTTCCCACTGGCTCTTATTTGTTTGGACAACAACATACACAGGAGCCTTGCATCAAACATACTTAGCTGTGGGAGTAGCTGCAAGTTGTACAAGAGCCAAGAGGCAGCAGCAAAAAAAGGGTGGAGGTCATTCATCCACCCAACACCCTGCTACTGTAGCTCTCCTCCTCTCCTGTTTGGCACTGAATGAGAATGAGGGGAGAGCAAAAACAAGCTGGCTGCGAAAAAAACAAACATGGAAAAAAACATGTTTGCATTCGTGATATCAACAATAAAACACAATGTGTAGCCACAAAGCAATTAAACAAATAACGTCACATACTGTAAGAACAATAGCAATGTTTATTTTTTTGATATATCCTTGTTCTGAGTTTGAAGTTCTGCAGTGGACGTTCCTCACCATCACCCGAAAAATTGGATGCTCTCCAAGCTTTTCTTTTGCGGTGCATCAAGTGAACGTAAATACAACCGAGTCCTTTTAAGACACTCAGGTAGAATTATAAATTGAAAAAAAACATCCTTTTAAATTGGCTGTTGTTGACCGTCTGAGTGCTGATGGCTGAGTTTATCCTAACATGGTGATCATGTTTCTTTCAATGTGAAAGTGTGGTTACCTGAACCGATGATTGCTTGGCTGGCGAAAGGTTTTTGGCTTCAGCGTTACAGGCACAGTGGGACTGCAGGAGCTGTAGCACAGATTATGGGACTATGAGAGCATAAAGGGCCCAAACACAGAACTGAGTGACCTAAATTAAAAGTTGGTAAAAGAGTGTGTGAACGTGTGTGTTTGGTCGTGCTCTTGTATTTGAACATTGGCAGAGTGCCACGTTATCAAGGCTTCATCTTACTGCTCATGCGACAGTGCCAAGTTTTGTCCTCGGCTTGCCCACCCAGGATGGCCCAGTAATGGCCCTGCCTAATCAGGTGCTGTGGACGCACACACGCACACACACAGTACACACACACATAAAACAAAACAGGCCAGCTCTGGTTTTCTTTCTGATATTACGAGCGTTATAAAAAGAGGCTTTCTTCATTGTTTTTTTACAAAGCAAACGCAACTCAAGGTCTTCTTACTATCTTTTTAGTGAACAGAGTTCATCCATCCATACAAAATCCATCCATTGACGACACACTGTTGTCATGGAGATGCATCTGATGAAATTGGGAGCTCAGTACCTGTTATGATTGCATCCAAAGCACTTTCAGGAACTCTTTGTTGGACTCAAATTGCAGCCTTGATATGAAACAACAATTTGAATAACCAATGCTAACTCAAGGTCCACTTAATCAATATTATCTGGAACTTGTAGATTATGTTTTCATATACATGGCATGCATGCAACTGCTATTTCTCTCTCTAGTAAGCATGTCAATAAGAAGAGAGAAAGAGTAGTAATGTTCGGCATGAATTCATCAAATGTTCTGATATGTTAATCCTAGTAAACTGCCATGACTAGAGATGTGTTATTCTTCCTGGACACCAAAACTGAAATCCTTGCAGATCGTAAAGCATTACGTTTTTCCCTCAAGATCTACAAACCCCAAATTAGTGTATTTTGGATTTTTTTGTGTGTGTTTGTTTGTTTGTGTATTGTCAAATGGATTGTGTGAGCTTGTGTGTATTTGTATTTGTGGGGAGGGGAGGTACTAAACTCAATGTCGGCAATAAGGGGCACATTCCTAAGTTGATTTAGTGGGCATTAAGATGAAGAGGAATGTGTCAAAGCTGTAGAGGCTTTAGTCCACTGTGGGGTAAACTGGCTGGGAGGAGCTCTGACGGCTCAGACTGACGGATGATTGACACTTGACTTAATGTGAGGACGCTGAAGAGCAAATAGTGGAGGGAAGCCGGGATGGAGAGGAGGTACCTGGGGGAAGAGGACAGTTAGTACTTTGGAGAAAGACAATGGAGGCTAATTGAGATATGACGCTTGAGAGACGTAGGGTGTTAGATGAGTTAAATGAAAGAGAAGTAAGTCTAGTCAGGAGAGGAGGTGAGGTTGCCAGAAGTTGGGATGAGGAAGCGGAAACAAGTGAAGAGTCACATTTACACAGGGTCAAGGAGGGGCCGATTAAGGGATAATAACGACTCAAATCGAGAGGATTTCAGAAGCTAATCTTTATTTGCCCAAGATGGTTGATAGTTGAAAGAAAGACATAAAGAGAGAGAATATAGAAATATTCTTTTCATAAGGTCCCATTGTATACAACATTGGTCACTGGGTCAGTTGTGCATCTTTGACAGATAACATTAGATCAAAGGAAAGCAACACAAATACATATTTTTTTACATATTTATTTTATATAATTATATCATATAAGTAATGTCTTAAAAAGTGCTAAATCAAACATCAGTATTGAACCAACATTACAAACTCTTAAGTGGTGCAAAAGCTGTCATCTAGCAATTTACTGTAACATAAAACTAAAACAGCGTAAGAAAGCAACAGGAAAGACGTGTGTGTGTGTGTGTGTGTGTGTGTGTGTGTGTGTGTGTGCGTGCGTGTGTGTGTGTGTGTGTGTGTGTGTGTGTGTGTGTGTGTGTGTGTGTTTTGAGGATTGACCTAGTCCTGAGACAGTGCAAGCATATAGAGAACAGTTGTGTGTTTCATGTCAGGTTGTTTGTGTTTTTGTGGACCGGACTGATAACATTTACTGCTCTTTTGGAATCCCACAGCTCATAGATCAGACTGAGAACAGAAAGGATTTTTTTGAGAAAAAGCTGTTATTCGGCTGACATAATCTTAACTCAACATATCACTGCCTTTAATAAATCCCCCAACTGATAATAGCAGTAAAAGCACACATAAGAAGCACTAAAAATGAAACAGCCACATTTTTTTTTCTTTCACACTGTGAAAAAAATAGGCAAACAACTGGACGTAAACATGACTTCACTTCCTTCGTTTTTCCTGAATTCGACTGTACCCTTCATAAATTCATGAAAGTGAAAACACCCTTCTCTGTCAGTTTAGAAGCATGCATCATATATACAGTTGCCACACTGTACAAATGACTCATTTACCTGTATTATCTGATTTTTACACTCCTGCATGTTGATTTTGACATAAAGCTACGTGACAGCACAGGTCAAGTCAAAGTGCACAAGATCAAAAGAAAATAAACGAGCAACATGGGAAAAAGGCAGGAAATGAGCGCCCTGTAGTTGTGGATGTAAAACCCATGTCCTTTACCCCTTCTCCTAACCTCACCCTACCCACAGACCCAAACTCTGATGCTGATGCTGCCCACCCCTGCTGGTGGAGCCCAGAGGGGCTGAGGTGTCACACTGTGAGGGAGATGAAGCTGTTGTATCTCTGGATGTTCCTCTTGAGGATCTCTGAGCACGGACCCAGCACACGCTCAAAGCGAGGCCGGTCCAGCTTCACACACTTCAGCGGACCACGAGCGACTACGGTGGCTGCCCTGGGACGGTTCAACAGGAGGGCGATCTCACCTGGAGGAGGAAGAGGTACACAGGACAAACAACAGTTTTGAGTCAATGAAAACATTACATTTTGTTTATCGCAGTAATAACCTGTGATTAATCAATAGTTGGGATGTTTTAATAACGAATGCATGAGAAAGAGAAAGCTTTTTTAAACTTTGTTATTTTAGTGATTTCAGAATTTCTGGCATGATTTTCCGACTCTAAGCAAAAGCATCCACAAAGCCGCCGTCACAAAAAGCTGCTTTGATTTCCCTCTGTATACTTTACGCTATATATCTTTTCATATGGTAGTATTCTCCCTGCCACTATCATATTGCATATACTGTATCCAGACTAGAATTACATTACGAAGTTAGGGCTGAATTTGGCAATGTAATGTTTTTTTTAACAAATTCAGATTTTCCGGATTAATCACAAGTTAACAATGACAGCCCTAATGAATACAAATGTGTTAACGTGTATGCTTTGTGTAGGAGTGCAATGTATGTCTTAGCATTCATTTTAGCATTAGTTCAACCAAGTGCAATTTAAATGCAAATTGCAAAACTGCAATATTAAGACCAATTACAAATGCCACACATCAGTGCAATTTAACCAACCTTTGAACTTTCTCAGCTATGCGACAAGCCAGGGTTGCATGCACAATTTATGTATCTACAGTATATGCTAACTTTAAGGTATAACTTGAACCAGTTACAACAGCTGATTGTATGTGGTGCGAAACTCACCAAAGTAGTCAGAGGGTCCGAGGCGTCCAACCTCCACATACTCCTCGTTATCGGACCTACGCTGCAGAACAGAGGCTATTCCCTGGAGACAGAAAAGGAGAGGTGGAGGAAAGGGAGAAAAGGAAGAGACAAGAGAAAGAACAGGATGAGAGGGGGTGTGGGTGTAGAAGGGAGAGATGGAGGAAAGGAGGGGGTGGGAGAGAAAAGGAGGAGTTATTTAACAAATGGGTTGAAAATCGGCAGGAGGATTAAGCCAAGGAGAAATTCCTTTGCTTCATAGGAACGCAGGTGCACAGGATTTAGCCCAATTTCCAGTGGGACTGACACCTGTTCTGCGGGATGCTTATGAACAACAAAACTAAAAGCCACACACTCACATATTCCAACTGGATGGGTTATAGAAATTCAGATTGGTTCTGCTTCCTCCAGAGTGTAATAAATACATCTAAGCCTTATGAGAGACTGACTGAGTCCTCAGTGTCTCCATCACTTAATCCACTTGATCAGTATTGACCCACAAAGTGGAAATAATGATATTGTCCAAGACTGAGCTCCAATACAGTGTCCCTAAAAAACCCTAAAACAACACACACTTCATGTACACACTTTCGTACGCTCCACTAGACTGTGGGTTTGAATGTCTCAAACCCACAGTCTACTCTGCATATGCAAACACGCACAGTCAGGCATTAATAACAAGAAACATAGACCCAGATGGACACAGATTGAAACACAAACCAACACGCAATTACCCATACACACATACAGTGAGAAAATCAACAGCTGATGTCTGCTGGACAGACTGACTGGGCTCTGAGCGGCTTGGATACGCTTATTACCGTCACCCGCTGGTTGCTGTTGTGTGACTGAATGTGTGAGTCATCTAAAAAGTATAATGCAGGAAATTTGATTTCCGTTTACTCTGCCCAACAGATGATGACAGTTCAAGCAGCCGTATCTTGCAGCTGTTGGTTTACTCAGTGTGTGTGTGTGAATGAGAACATGTTTGATTGTTTATCAGTGCTATGAGCTAAAATCTTGGAGTGTTCGATGCAGACAGTGAGCTTGACAACGTTTTTCTCTAAAGTATTGCTGTGCTTCTGTGATGGAGCATACGTTTGGCATGCGTATGTTTTGACTGAGGTAAAATATGTGTTTTTAACAATGATGTCTAGACATTTACATGTACTCAAGTTCAACTGTAAATTGGTAGCAGGTAAGAAATCAGCAGGGGAACTTCCCAGCTTGTCTTGGACCGTGTTGTAAAACAGACTTGACCGTTCCAGCACTCTAATCCTTTTTTCTGCCCTCTCTGCTCCTTCTGCTGACCAGGCTTATAATGCTTAATATGAATATAATGAGCTTTAATGAGAACCCCAAAACAGCCAGCTCTTCACTTAAGGCACACAAAGGTGAGACTGTATTTTAATGAAAGGGATATGTGTGTGAGTTTGTAATGAACTGTGGCGAAGTGGTGGATAATGTTCAGGTAAGCAGGGCATAGTGTGTGCGTGAGAGGTGACCAACTGTCCCGTGATGCCGTGACCACACACACACACACGATACAGCAGGGTGAATAAAACTGTGGGGCGGGGAACGAGGGCAGTCATGGTGTGGCTGAGCCTGGCTGGAGGTAAGGTTAAGTGTTGTGGACAAGTTACATCATATTTAGTTTAAAAACAGTCCTTTATGTTGACTTTGACACTGCAAAACATGCACGATGCAGTAACAGTGATATTAAATTCCTCCAAAACAATTTTGCTTTTTGATCAGTCGATCGAGCAATAGCTGGACTGAAGAATAAGTCACATGACTCATGTCTATAATAATGTGTTGACTATGTCTGTTAGTATTTTTTGTTTATTCAAGCGTTTATGCCTCATTGCAGATGTGAACTCAATACAGATACTTCACTATGGTGGTTGAATGAAGGTTATTGAATTACATTTTCATAAGGACCAAAGAAAGAAAATCCCATAAAGTTATCCCACTTCATTTGAGAATCACCCATGAATAAATTAATGTGCAAACACTAGAAACAATCACTGATTTCACTTCACCCTGTGCACCTGAGTGTAAAAGTGTTTTAAAACAGAGAGAGGATGTGAATGGAGGAGAGAACGACTGTTTACAACCAGTTGATTCCTTTCCTTTCCATTCATGTCCAAACAAAGAGAGTGAGACAGTGCAGCACCGTCATGTACAGTAGTTCATTGGTGAGCAGGCCTCTCCCAGTGTGGTCCAGATAACCATCATGTACTGTACCAGCGCTCTGCTCCACAGACATTTCTTTTATAAACATCCAAGATCCTCGTCACCATGCTTCCCAATGCAGAGTGCCAAAAAAAAAAAAGGAACAACACTAAAGGAAAAAAGACAAACAGGGAAGACAAACAAAAAGTATGAATAAGTAAAGTTGCAAATAAAGATAGTGGGAAACGGTTTGAGTCCACATAAAGGGCAGCGGTTCTAAATGATCACTTATACGTGGTATAACAGGTCGGATACAAATCTTAAATTGCATAACCAAAATGCGCATTCACACCCACTCGTACGCATACCCACATACACATACCACACGCAGAGCATAGCAAGTCGGCTCGTGGTTACATGTCAAAATGTAGCATCCTGCATGCAGGAAGTTACAACCGTTAGATATACAACAGGCACAGAGAGAGAGAGGGAGAGGGAGAGAGAGAGGGAGAGAGAGAGAGAGAGAGAGAGAGAGAGCTGCCCTGAAGGTGAATGTCTCAGATTCACATCTACTCTGCGTTATCTCAAACACTGACTACCATGGGAGTCATCACTAACACAAAAAACGACCCTGACTTCAAGCTAATCTGTAAATGACCACAAACAGTCAATATGGAGTTATCTATAAAAATGTTTCATAGCTACTCTAAAATGTGATTTTAGCAAAGACAAAACACTGGCTGTGCTGTTCTGTTGATTGTAGATGCTGCGTCATGTAACATTGAATGATGGCCGAACAGTAATAATTGTAATCCCAAAGAAAAAGTGGTTCGATGGATTTTCCTGTTCCTCAGATTATACACTAGGAAGCTGATACTAAATGTACATATTAGACATTAATATATACAGTATATCTTTTTAAATGTAGAATTGGTTGGAAAAGGAGTAACTTGTTTAAGCAATCATCATTTAATATATCTACTTCTATATGATCTAAATCTGGTGTAATCTCGCTCAATCATCCTGAATCACATCATCGGTCCGCTTCTGAAACTTTTCAATAATGCAGGCTAGGTGTGGGAGGTTGGAGTAAGGCATTACAATTTAAAGCAGAGTCCTGCGGTGTAGATGTCCATTAGTCCTCCATTATTCGAAACAGAACATAGCCATGCTTTCAGTAAAGGGCAGCAGAAGGGAATATTGAAACCATTGACCCCAGGTCCAAGCTGAAGACGTGTTAAACCAGAACCCAGGCAGTATGTGTGTGCTGTGTGATTTATGATGGATAAATCTCTACCCATTTCAAGGCTTTCCAATAGCAATTTAATGAAAAATGTGGAACACCAAAGAAAGATTTAAAATGCGTTACGGTTTGCTGCTTTTCCATCAAACCACATTGAGGCTCTCGATACGATCAGTGGCAAGATTATGCAACAACGGTTCAATCCCCTCCAAGCTGTGCAGCCCTGAGATAAAAGTTTAATTGAGAAAAGTCTCCCACTGCTACCTGCATCATCCTATGCAATAAGAATCCAAGTATCCACCAATGTTAGTTGAAAAGATTGTAAAAATGTGTGCTTGTAGTTAGCTTTACCACATTTGAATGCTATTGGAATGAGTTGAACAGGATAGTGTGTTGGACAGCTCATTTGTAAAGCATCAAGGAATTACTTAATACTTCAGATGTTAATTTGTCTCTGCATCTGGCTCTTAATCTTTTAGATTTGCGGTAGATTTAAATAAAAAATAGCTGTGCTTTTTTGTAGTTTAGAGTGACTTACTGGGAGCGGCCTGTTCCTGCTCAGTGGGTTCTGCCTCAGGTTTCTGGGGCGGACCTTTGATCTTGTAGAGCAAAGCGAGCAGACGGCCTTTTATCGAAGTGTCCTGCTCTTCCTCTTCCTCCTCTATGGGAATTCCTGCAAGGGGAAACACATTTCTGTCAGTGAGTTGTTCTGGCCTTCAGTCACAACTATTACAAAAATGTTAAGACGCCATATGGTGGTGTTGATTGTGGTGCCAATACTAGGTCATGCCAACCACATGTGACTGGTAGCCTCCATTTCACACCAGGCATAACCAGAGTATTTTTGTTGGGTAATCTATGGTAGGGCTAACCCATGCAGTGTCGGGGCTCAAGTCAGTATTTGCAATGTAATTACATACACGCTATATCGCCCCCCTTGACAGTGAAACGCCGTGAGGTTTAGATTATTTCCCTGTCTCAATCAAAATTGAACTGTATGAAATAAAACAGCACATTTGTCTTGTAGTAAATAAAAAGGGATCAATGTGAACGTGACGTATGATAGTACACGTTGAAGATCCAATGGGGATACTGAATGGCGGTTCCGACTGATCTCAATCAGTAAGGCATGACGCAGACCCAACGTTTCGTTGCTCTGATTGGCTGTAGGTCTATTCAAAATTGCATTATGAGGCATTTTGATCTGACCGCGGCCGCGCTGATATTATAACGCGAGAGAATTTCCACACCTTTAGTGTATAAAACTCCCCCACTACTTCTTAGACTATTCCTTGCACCCCTCTTCGATCATAAACCCGAATGGTCTCAACCATATTGCATCAGTAACGTGCACTTGTTGTTACAGCAGGATCAGTTTGTGTGTTGTGGACACGACCGGTATATTTTCGGAAGCCGTGTTCTCAACATTTAGCATTTTGCTTATTATTTAATTGAATTTGCTCACTTTAACATCATTTTTCACGGTGGGGCTAAGCCATTTCTTGGTATGCTGTAGCCTACCCCAGCCATACCCTGGCGCCGCCACTTCATACAGTACAACACAAAAATCACTCTGTGTCTTGTTATTTAAGTCAAGAATCAAGAAGAATCACTTTGTGTGAGAAGATATCTTCAGTTTCTAATACAT